GGGCTGAGGCAGGAGAATTGCCTGAACCCAGGAGGTGGAGGTTGCAGTGAGCCGAGATCGCGCCATTGCACTCCAGCCTGGGTAACAAGAGCGAAACTCCGTCTCAAAAAAAAAAATAAATAAAATAAAATAATAATAATAATAATAACAAATAAAATGAAAGTGAATGTAAACATAATAAGTGTGTTTTCTTTTTTTCCTTAGAATGTGTTGATATCAATGTTACTCCAGATAAAAGGCAAATTTTACTACAAGAGGAAAAGCTTTTGTTGGCAGTTTTAAAGACCTCTTTGATAGGAATGTTTGATAGTGATGTCAACAAGCTGAATGTCAGTCAGCAGCCACTGTTGGATATTGGAGGTAAGAAAAGTACTGTGTACAGCCAGCTTCTAAAGCTTTTAGCTAATGTGTTTCCTTATTTTTTCCAAGGTAAACTTTTTTTTTTTTTGAGATGGAATTTCGCTCTTGTTGCCCAGGCTGGAGTGCAATGGCACAATCTCGGCTTACTACAACCTCCGCCTCCCAGGTTCAAGTGATTCTCCTGCCTCAACCTCCCAAGTAGCTGGGATTACAGGCATGCGCCACCACACCTGGCTGATTTTGTATTTTTAGTAGAGATGGGGTTTCTCCATGTTAGTCAGACTGGTCTCGAACTCTCAACCTCGGGTGATGTGCCCATCTCGGCCTCCCACAGTGCTGGGATTACAGGCATGAGCCACCACACCGAACCCATAAACTTTTTTGGATGTGAAACAAAGTCTCTTATATTATTTTGTCATTTTTTAATGTTTTTATTGAGACAGGGACTTGCTCTGTCGCCCAGGGTGGACTGCAGTGGCGCCATCATAGTTCACTGTAGCATCAGATTCCTGGGCTCAAGCCACCTTCCTACCTCAGCCTCCCAAGTAGATAGGACTACAGGCACGTGCCACCATACCTGGCTAATTTTAAAAATTTTTTATAGAGACAGGGTCTCACTTTGTTGCCCAGGCTGGTCTCAAACTCCTGGGCTCAAGTAGTCCTCCCACCTCAGCCTTGTAAAGTGCTGGAAATACAGATGTGAGCCACCATGACTAGCAACCTATTTTAGGTAGAGGTTGTGTCATACTAGAAAGTATGTAGCTGCAGATTTAAGGTCATCTATTTATAAAGAGGCATGAACACACAGAGGAATATGTAGTAATGTCTTTTTTTGGCTATAATGGTACCTCCAGTTTTTTGTCAATTGTAAACAGATGATGTAATATAAGATATATGATTAGAAGATTCTACAGTGGCTGCATTTTAACTCCCTTGTCATGTTTTTCTTTTTTTTTTTTTTTTTGAGACAAATGTCATATGCCAATGCCTGAGCCCTATCACTTTCATTCCCACCTACTTGATGGCTGTCTGTGTAGCCACGTTATCTTCTTCTCTCAGATAGGACAACCCTGATTCATAAACCTTATTATTAACGAAAATAATCCATTCCTAATTAACTCAATTAACCACCTAGGGATCCATAGCATCTTTGCTGGATTTCTCATTGCCAACAGTATTAATCCTGCTTCACCCCTTCAAACAACTGTGCCACTCCATCCTAAACTCACAGCCCTAGGTGTAACCATCTTGGGCCTCTTGCTAGCAATAGAGCTTAATCTTATAACTAATAACCTCAAACTTGAACACCCATTACACATATTCAACTTCTTTAACATACTAGTTTTTATTCAGCCACAACCCACCGTTCAACCCCCCGACTCAAGCTTATCCACAAATCAAAATATGGCTTCATTTCTACTAGACCTAATTTGATTAGAAAAGTCTATACCAAAAATGATTTCACAAACCCAAATTTCAGCCTCCATCACCACATCTACTCAAAAAGGCTTAAACTTTATTTCCTCTCTTTTTTTATTCCACCGATTTTAACTTTACTATTGATTGTCTAACCTGTTACCCCGAGTAATTTCAATTGCAACATAAATACTTACAAATAGTGGTCAACCAGTAACCACCATTCATCAACATCCATAACTATATAAAGCAGCCACACCTACAGAGAATCCTCATGTAATAATCCCTCCCCTCCCTCTCAAAAATTATTCAACTCCCCACGCTATTAATCATGATTACTACCCCATCGTATTCAACTATCTACCAAGCCAACACTAGTTCCATTAATAATCCTAATAATAAAGCCCCTCAAATGCCAATACTTGACCCTCACGTTTCAGGATATTCTTCAATAGCCATTGCTGCAGTATAATCAAAACCAATCATCATACCACATAGATAAATCAAACAGACCATTTACCCCACGAAAGCCCCGCCAAAATTCAACACAATACCACAACGCACAGTACCACTAATAGTTAACCCTAGACCCCCATAAATAGGAGAAGGCTTCGAAGATAAACCCGCAAATCCTGTAACCAAGAGAATACACAATAAAAACATAGCATATGTCATTATTCCAACGTGGACTATAACCATGACGAATGATATAAAAAAACATTGTTGTATGTCATCTGTAAGGATACTAATGACCAATACCCGCAAAACACACCCATTAGCAAAAAATATTAACCACTTATTTATTGATCTTGACACACCATCTAACATTTCTACATGATGAAACTTCTTGGTGCCTGCCTAATTCTTCAGATCATCACAGAACTATTTTTTGCCATGCACTATACACCGGACACCTCAACCGCCTTCTCTTCAATCGCTTATATCAACTGAGATGTGTACTACGACTGAATTGTCCGCTATTTCCATGCTAACAGCGCCTCAATATTTTTTATTTGCCTCTTCCTACACGTTGGATGAGGCTTATATTATGAATCATTTATATTTCTAGAAAGCGGAAATATTGATATTATTCTTCTACTCATAATCATAGCAACAGCATTTATAGGCCACGTACTCCCATGAGGCCAAATATCATTCTGAGGCACTACAGTAATTACAGACCTATTAGCCATCCCATTGGATCTGACCTTGTGCAGTGAATCTGAGGTGGATTCTCAGTTGACAAAGCCACCCTCACATGATTTTTTGCCTTCCATTTCATCTTACCTTTTTTTCTTTTCTTTTTTTTTTTTTTTGAGACTGAGTCTCTCTCTGACACCAGCCTGGAGTGCAGTGATGCAATCTCAGCTCACTGCACCCTACGCCTTCCAGTTCAAGTGGTTCTTCCACCTCAGCCTCCTAAGTAGCTAGGACTACAAGCGCACATCACCACGCCCAGCTAATTTTTGTATTTTTTAGTAGAGATGGAGTTTCACCATATCGGTCAGGATGGTCTTGATCTCTTGACCTCATGTTCCGCCTGCCTCAGCCTCCCAAAGTGCTGGGATTACAGGTGTGAGCCACCGCACTTGGCCTCATCTTACCTTTTATTATTGCAGCTCTAGCAACTGTTCACCTTCTATTTCTACGTGAAACAGGATCTAACAACCTTCAGGGATTTTGCCAAACCCTGACAAAATCACTTTTCACCCTTAATATACAACTAAAGACATTTTATGTTTAATTTTTCTCCTCTTCCTTCTAATCCTTGTACTGTTTTCACCTGACCTCCTGAGCGGCCCAGATAATTACACTTTAGCTAACCGTCTCGATACTCCACCCCACATTAAACCAGAGTGATATTTTTTGTATGCATATGCAATTTTATGATCCATCCCCAACAAACTAGGAGGCGTCCTAGCCCTCATATTCTCCATTCTTATTCTAGCAATTATTCCCGTACTTAACACATCTAAACAACAAAGTACAATATTCCTGCCATTAAGTCAATGCTTATTCTGAATCCTAGTAGCTGACCTACTTACATGTACATAAATTGGATGTTAGCTGGTCGAATACCCTTTTATTGTCATCAGACAGACTGCATCTATTATATATTTCTCTACCATCCTTATCCTCATACCACTTACTACGCTAATCAAAAAGAAATTACTTAAGTGAAAATGTCCTTGTAGTATAATTCAATACTCTGGTCTTGTAAACCAGAAAGGGAGATCCTTTCCCCAGGACAATTCAGGAAAAGAGCGTTCTCATTTCACTGTCAACACCTAAAGCTGAAATTCTAATTAAACTACTCCCTGAATTTCCTCTAGATGCATTTTAACTATTATGTTAGTATTAATGAGTTACCACTAATACATTAGTGCCTTTATGTACTTCGTGCATTACTGCTAGTCCCCATGAATAATACATAGTGCTATATATGCTTATTCGTACATAGTACATTTACCTATGAAAATACATAAAAACTTCCCCAACATGCATATAAGCATGAATTAACACATCTTCACATCAACTGTTACCACCCAGATTATCTAGACCTTCTCCACATGGATATTGACCCATACTAGACCTCCTTAACGTTACATAGTACATATTGTTGTTCACTGGACATAGCGTATCCTAGTCAAGGAATTTCTCACCAACGTGACTATCCCCTACCAAATTTTGGTCTCTTAATCTACCAACCTCCAAAAAATCATCATTCCACTTGGGTGTGTTATCCGCCTCACTTCAGGCCCATAAAGCTTAGGGTGACTAATGTGAAACTATACCTAGCATCTGGTTCTTACGTCACAGCCATAACACTAAGATCACCCATACATTCCTCTTAAGTAAGACATCTCAATGGTTCAGAGACTATCACCCTATTAATCAGTCACAGGACCACTGCCATGCATTTGGTATTTTTATCTTTTGGGAATGCCCTTGCTCAACATTGTGGAAGGCCTGGTCCCTTCCAAATCAGCTGTAGATGAAATTGGATGTGATTCCTACCAAACCAGTTAATAATCACGCCTATATTGCATATTCCGAGCTAGCATTACAACCATAAGGTGTTAATTAATACATGCTTGTAGGACATAGTAATTAACCAATAGGTACATACGCCAGCACATGTATGCCTACTTTTAACAACTTCTTTCAAATAAAAATCCACAAACCCTCCTCCCATCTCTGACTTTTTTCTTCAATCTAAATTAATGTACTCTCGTAAACCCTGAAAACAAGAGACGAAATGCAACCTAATCAAAACCCAGAGATTATATTTTAGCTGTAACTATCTCAACAGCTACCTCTCAATTGATGTTATTTTCCTAAAAATCCTAAATCCCTCCTACTAAATTAAAACTCCATCTTGTATAATAAATGCAACAACTAATTTCTATCTCAATACTATAACACCTTAAATATACCCTTCTTAAAGTGCTACCCCATGTCTCATATTCTAAATCAACCACACCCTAACTTTAAATAGCATTCTTGGCCAGGTGTGGTGGCTCACGCCTGCAATCCCAGCACTTTGGGAGGCTGAGGTGGGCGGATCACCTGAGGTTGGGAGTTCGAGACCAGCCTGATCAACATGGAGAAACCTTGTCTCTATTAAAAATACAAAAAAATTAGCCGGACTTGGTGGCACATGCCTGTAATCCCACCTACTTGGGAGGCTGAGGCAAGAGAATCTCTTGAACTCGGGAGGTGGAGGTTGCAGTGAGACAAGATTGTGCCGTTGCACTCCAGCCTGGACAAGAGCAAAACTCTGTCTCAAAAAAAAAAAAAAAAAAAAAATAGCACTGTTAACCAAACCTCTGTCAATTCAATTTTTAATATCCTAAGCCCCCAGAACCATATACAGTTATTTACTTCTATTTTCCTTCTTCCTATTTTTTAGCTTTACATTTATATGTTACACAGTTAATGTAGCTTAACTGTTCAAAGCAAGACACTGAAAATGTCCAGATGGGTACACACCACTCCATAAACAAATAGGTTTGGTCCTGGCCTTCTGTTAACTTTTAGTAGATTACATGCAAGCATCCCCGTCCTAGTGAAAATGCCCTCTAGATCACCCAGATCAAGAGGAGCAAGTATCAAGCACCCTTAAGTGCAGCTCAGAACACTTTGCTGAGCCATATGCCCACGGGAAACAGTAGTGATAAACATTTAGCAATAAACAAAGGTTTAACTAAACTATACTAATCTATAGAGTTGGTCGATTTCATGCCAGCCACCGCGGCCATACGATTAACCCAAGCTAACAGAACTCAGCATAAAGAGTGTTTAAGGTCTGCCCTCAATAAAGCTAACCTCCATCTAAGTTGTAAAAAACTCCAGTCGAAATAAAATCTATTACGAAAGTGGCTTTAGTACCCTGAAGACACAATACCTAAGACCCAAACTGGGATTAGATACCCCACTATGCTTAGCCCTAAACTCTATTAGTTATATCAATAAAACCATTTGCCAGAATACTACAATGCTTATAGTCAAGCAACAGCTTAAAACTCAGAGGACTTGGTGGTGCTTTATATCCCTCTGGAGGAGCCTGTTCTATAATCAATAAACCCCGATACATCTCTCCACCTCTAGCCCTCAGCATATATACCGCCATCTTCAGCAAACCCTAAAAGGGTCATAAAGTAAGCATAAGTATATACATAAAAACGTTAGGTCAAGGTGTGTAGCCCATGAGGTGGCAAGAAGTGGGCTACAATTTCTAACCCTTAGAAAATCTCATGATAACCTTTATGAAATTTAAAGATCCAAGGAGAATTTATCAGTAAACCAAGAACAGAGTGCTTAGTCGAATAAGGCCATGAAGCGTGCACACACTGTCCGTCACCTTCCTCAAATGTTCTTTTAGAAATTATTGCTACTAAAAAATTCTATACGCACATATAGAGGAGATAAGTTGTAACATGGTAAGTATACTGGAGAGTGTGCTTGGACAAACCAAAGTGTAGCTCAACCTAAGGCACCCAGCTTACACCTGGAAGATTTCGTCATGACCTGATCACATTGAGCCAACTCTGACCCTAAATCTCACTAAAAATATTATCAAATTATCTTAACCAAACCATTTACCTGAAAAGTATAGGCAACAGAAAGTCTCACCCTGGTGCAATAGAGATAGTACTGTAAGGGAAAGATGAAAGAACTAAATCAAGCATTAAAAAGCAAAGACAAACCCTTTTACCTTCTGCATAATATATTAACTAGAGAACCATAGCCAAGTCCCATGAAACCAGATGAGCTACTCAAGGTTAGCTAAAAGAGCATACCCATCTATATGGCAAAATAGTGGGAACATTTATGAGTAGTAGGGACAAACCTACCAAGCCTGATGATAGCTGGTTGTCCAGACAGAATCTTAGTTCAACTTTAAACTTATCCACAGAATTAGTTAATATCCCTGTAAGTTAACTGTTAGTCTAAAGAGGGACAGTTCTTTAGACCCTAGGAAACAACCATTCTACAGAGAGTAAAAAGTATTATCATCGTAGTTGGCCTAAAAGCAGCCACCAATTAAGAAACCCTTCAAGCGGCGGGGCGCAGTGGCGGCTCATGCCTGTAATCCCAGCACTTTGGGAGGTTGAGGTGGGCGGATCATGAGGTCAAGAGATCGAGACCATACTGGCCAACATGGTGAAACCCCGTCTCTACTAAAAAAATACAAAAATTAGCTGGGCGTGGTGGCATGTGCCAGTAGTCCCAGCTACTCGGGAGGCAGAGGCAGGAGAATTGCTTGAACCCGGGAGGCGGAGGTTGCAGTGAAAAAAAAAAAAAAAGAAAGAAACCCTTTAAGCTGAACATCTAACTATCTCAAATTCTATTCATTCTGCTGAACTCCTAACATCACATTGGACTAATCTATTGCTTGATAGAGTTTCGCTCTTGTTTGCCCAGGCTGGAGTGCAGTGGTGCGATCTCAGCTCACTGCAACCTTCTCCTCCTGGGTTTAAGAGAGTCTCCTGGCTCAGCCTCCCAAGTAGCTGGGATTGTAGGCGCCTGCCACCACGCCCGGCTAATGTTTGTATTTTCAGTAGAGATGGGATTTTTCCAGGTTGCCCAGGCTGATCTCAAACTCCTGAGCTCAATCTATCCTTCAGCCTTAGCCTCTGAAAATGCTGGAATTTCCTGACTTCTAACAATATAGTTTAATCTGTTTTTAATTTGAAGTCATTCAGTCTGTACTTTTCTCTGATTTGTTTCTTTCTCTCATTATTTTGTTTGTGAGATTCACCCAAGTCATACGGCAAAATTCTTTCATTCATTCACTATACAGTGTTCCATTATAGTCAGATATCATAATTTATTTGTGAATATTTGAGTTGTTTTCAGTTTGGGGCTATAATGAAGAACCCTGTCAGAAATATCCTCATCCACCTCTTTTGATGAGCATAGATAGGCACTTTTTTTTTTTTTTGAGACGGAATCTTTTTTTTTTTTTTTTTTTTTTTTTAAAAATTGAGTTTGTTTTTTTTTTTTTTTTGATACTGTTGCCCAGCTGGAGTGCAGTGACGTGATCTTGGCTTACTACAACCCCCCTTCCAGGCTCAAGCAGTTGTCCCACCTTAGCCTCCCTAGTAGCTGGGATTATAAGTACCTTCCACTATGCCTGGCTAATTTTTTGCATTTTTAGTAGAGATGAGTTTTCACTATGTTGATCAGGCTGGTCTTGAACTCCTGACCTCAGGTAATCTGCCCTCCTCAGCCTCCCAAAGTGCTGGGATTACAGTGAGATTGAGATACTGTGCCTGGCCGATAGGCACTGCTGATAGGAGTAGCTATGCTGGGTTGCAGGTGTGCATACATTCAGATTTAGGAGGTACTCCCAGAGAACTTTCAAAGCAGCTGTACCAGGTTCATTACTACCAGTGGTATTTAAGAATTCCACTTGATCCTGAATTTTGTTAGCATTTGTTGTTTTTTTAATTTTACCCATTCTGGTGAGTATATGGCCAGATCGTATTTTATGTGTGTGTGTGTGTGTTTGTTTCTGAGACAGAGTCTTGCTCTGTCGCCCAGGCTGGAGTGCAATGGCGCCATCTTGGCTCACTGCAACCTCTACTGCCCAGGCTAAAGGGATTCTTGTGCCTCAGCCTCCCAAGTAGCTGGGATTACAGATGTGCCCCACCACACCTGGCTAATTTTTGTATTTTTAGTATAAATGGGGTTTTGCCATGTTGTCCAGACTGGCCTCAGACTCCTGGCCTTATGCCATCCACCTGCCTTGGCCTCCAAAGTGCTGGGATAACAGGCGTGAGCCACCACATCTAGCCGATATTATAGTTTTATTTTAAACAATGAACTGTGTTCATCTGTTTAATTAGCATGTGGCTCTCCTCTTTTGTGAAGTGTCTGTTCACGTAAGTACATCCTCTAACCATTTCAGGATAGTCCCTGACCCTCTTCTCCATTCATGTTTACTTAGGTAACTTAATGAAAATGCATGCCACGGATTTGGAAAAGCCCCTGCCAGAACAGCAGGATAATTCTCCTTCATCAAGGACTCGAGAAGAAAAAAGGGACGTGTCCATTTCCAGACTGCGGGAGGCCTTTTCTCTTCATCACACAGCAGAGAACAAGTCTCACAGCCTGAAGACTCCAGAACCAAGAAGGAGCTCTCCAGGGCAGAAAAGGGGTATGCCATCTTTTAGCACTTCAGATGCCATCTCTGACAGAGGCTCCCTGGGACCTCAGAAAGAGGCAGCGAGTTCCAGTGCGGGACCCAGTGACCCTGCAGACAGAGCGGAGGTGGAGAAGGACTCTGGGCATGGCAGCACTTCCGTGGATTCAGAGGGGTTCAGCATCCCAGACACAGGCAGTTACTACAGCAGCGAGTGTGTGGCCAGCTCCCCCGAGGACAGGGGCTCACAGGAATCTGTGGACTCTCGTGAGAAAGTGCCTGAAACTGACAACCCTTTTTCAGATGTGGACTGCTGTTTAAACCAGGAAGATACTGGATGTAAATTTAGAATTTTGCCTCAGTCACCTAATCTTGCATCCCCAAACACAAAACGCTTTAAAAAAGAAGAAATTCTTTCAAATTCTGACATTTGTCTAAAGGTAGTAAATACTCAGAACGTGTCAGCCTCTCAGGTTGATGTAGCTGTTAAAATTAATAAGAAAGTTGTGCCCCTGGACTTTTCTATGAGTTCTTTAACTAAACGAATAAAGCAGTTTCATCATAAAGCAAAGCAAAGTGAAGGTGAACAGAATTATAGGAAGTTTAGAGCAAAGATTTGCCCTGGAGAAAATCAAGCAGCTGAAGATGAACTAAGAAAAGAGATAAGGTAAAGTTTTAATTTTTTAATTTTAAATTTTTATTTATTTATTTATTTATTGAGATAGAGTCTTGCTTTGTCACTCAGGCTGGAATGCAGTGGTGTGATCTCAGCTCACTGCAACCTCTGCCTCCCAGGCTCAAGTAATTCTCCTGCCTCAGCCTCCCAAGTAGCTGGCACTACAGGCTCGTACCACCACGCCCAGCTAATTTTTGTATCTTTTTTTAGTAGAGGTGGGGTTTCAGCATATTGGTCAGGCTGGTCTTGAACTCCTGAACTCGTGATCCACCCTCCTTGGCTTCCCAAAGTGCTGAGCTTATAGGTGTGAGCCACCTCGCCGGGCCTATTTTTATTTTTTTGAAATGGAGTCTCGCTCTGTTGCCCAGGCTGGAGTACACTGGTATGATCTTGGCTCACTGCAACCTCCACCTCCCAGGTTCAAGCAATTCTCCTGCCTCTGCCTTCTGAGTGTCTGGAATTACAGGTGTGCACCACCACGCCTGGCTAATTTTTGTATTTTTGATAGAAAGGGGTTTCACCATGTTGGCTGATCTTGAACTCCTGACCTCGTGATCTGCCCACCCTTGCCTCCCAAAGTGCTAGGATTACAGGTGTGAGCCACAGCTCTTGGCCAGGTAGTTTTTTCTTAAGTGTATTTCGAAGCTGGGTGCAAGTGGTTCACACCTGTAATCACAGAACTTTGGGAGGCCGAGCCAAGGAGGGAGGATCACTTGAGCCCAGGAGCTCAAGATCAGCCTGGATAACATAGGGAGACCCCATCCCTACAAAAAACTTGGCTGGGCATGGTAATGCCTATTGAAATTCCAGAATCTGCGCCCAGTCAGATGCTGTTCTCTGTGGCAGGACATAGACTTCAATAACATGGAAGACTTGGGTCTTTTAGGCCAGCACCAGCTTTTGAGAAGATGATCTATGTTCTGGGAACCAAGGCATATTCAGACAGTTCCTGGGAGAGCCTAGAATCAGCCCCAGGGGAGGTGAGATTTGTGCTGGTTTCTGGCATGCTTCTGAGATGTCCTTTTCCTTCCCTCCTGCGATGTGAGAGTCCCTGCATCATCACTCACTCTGGCAGCTTCTCTCCATCCAGCAGGCTACAGCCACTCCTGCTCCAAGGAGGCCTGAAGCTCAACCTGAGTGGGTAGGGGCCTTTTACAAGAGTTTCTTTTGTGAGCACTCTCCCTCTTCCCTAGAGGTAGTAGCATTTTCCATTCCTGTATTTCCTAGCATAGTAGTTAACCACCTTTTACTAGTTTGTAATGCTTTATTATACATTTTTCCTCTTCAGGCCTGCCATGGTGGCTCACGACTTGTAATCCTAGCACTTTGGGAAGCTGAGGTAGGAGAATCACTTGAGGCTAGGAATTTGAGACCAGCCTGGGCAATATAATGAGACCCCATCTCTAAAAAAAAAAAACAGATTAGCCAAGTATACTGTTACATGCCTATAGTCCCAACAGGAGGCTCACTTGAGCCCAGGAGTTCGAGGCTGCTGTGAGCTATGATCATGCCATTGCACTCCAGCCTGGGTGACAGAACAAGTCCCTGTCTTTTTTTTTTTTTTTTTTTTTTTTTTCAGGACTTTTCCTTTTTTTTTTTTTTTTTTTTTTTTTTTTTTTTTGAGACGGAATTTCACTCATGTTCCCCAGGCTGGAATGCAATGGCGCAATCTCGGCTCACCGCAACCTCCGCCTCCTGGGTTCAGGCAATTCTCCTGCCTCAGCCTCTTGAGTAGCTGGGATTACAGTCACGCGCCACCATGCCCAGCTAATTTTTTGTATTTTTAGTAGAGATGGGGTTTTACCATGTTGACCAGGATGGTCTTGATCTCTTGACCTCGTGATCCACCCACCTCGGCCTCCCAAAGTGCTGGGATTACAGGCTTGAGCCACCATGCCCGGCCCAAGTCCCTGTCTTAAAAAAAAAAAAAAATCCCTGTTAAAATCACTGGTGTGATTTTTGTCTCTTGATTGTACTCTGACATGTCAGAACGTGTCAGCCTCTCAGGTTGCTGTAGCTGTTAAAATTCGTAATGGAATTGGTACCAGGAGACAGACCCTCAAAGATAGGATTTGGGGACTGGTTTGGTTATGACTTGGACTTGAGCTCTGTACTGAGTTCCTCGCCAGTAGGAAATGTGGGTTCAGTAATCCATGGCATGTAGAGGCCTCACAGTTCACCAGACTGTCACCTGTGGTTGATTGTGATGATCATGAGCATGGTGGCATGGGACTGGGTCTTCCTGGAGCATTTATAGAAAGAAACAACAGTCTCAGCTTCTTTTTTTAAATTTTTTTTATTTTTGAAACAAGAGTTTTGCTCTTTCACCTAGACTGGAGTGCAGTGGCATGGTCTCAGCTCACTCCAACTTCTGCCTCCTGGGTTCAAGCGATTCTTCTGCCTTAGCCTCCCAAGTAGCTGGGAGTACAGGTGCCCACCATGACGCCTGGCTAATTTTTGTATTTTAAGTAGAGATGGAGTTTCACCATGTTAGTCTTGAAATCCCAACCTCAAATGATCCGCCCACCTCGGCCTCCCAAAGTGCTGCGATTACAAGCATGAGCCCCTGTGCCCAGCCTAATCTCAGCATCTTTCATCCTCAGTTCAGGCCACCAGGTGAGACCCCGAGAACGTCCGTGGCTGCTTTCACAGTCATTTCTTGTAGTCACAGCGCTGGTAATGAGGAAAATCCATTTTCACCAGGTTTAATTGTGTGGGACTGAGAACTACAGTGTCAGTTTCTCATGTGAAGGTTAGGGGTGGTGTCCATCTTTTGTCCAGATTGATTAAGATAGTGTTTAATGGCATTAGGTGTTGAAGCCACCCAGCAAAAGACCCAGTGTTGGGCCTGGCAGAGAGTAGAAGGATTGATATCCAGAATTGGCAAAAAGGTATTCTTAGACACTGTTGGTGGGAGTGTGAATTTTCACAGATTTCCCATCAGAAAGAACGTATGTAATCCTGCCTCTAGGGTCTGTCTCACAGAAATATACCCACAGGTGAGTAGGTTTATGTACAGAAGTATTTGTTGCAGCTTTGTGTGTACTATTGAAATTGGAGACAACTGAAATGTCCTTTATTAGAGAATTTATCAAATTTTGGTACATCCATGCAATGAGTTCCTGTATGGCCATTACAAAGAATGAAGTAGGACGGATGCAGTGGCTCACGCCTATAATCTCAGCACTTTGGGAGGCCGGGACAGGTAGATCACTTGAGGTCAGTAGTTGGAGACCAGCCTAGACAACATGGTGAAACCTCATCTCTCCTAAAAATAAAAAAATTAGCTGGGCATGGCAGCATGTGCCTATAGTCCCAGCTATTCCGGAGGCTGAAGCAGGAGAATCGCTTGAGCCGGGGAGACGGAGGTTGCAGTGAGCCGAGACTGCACCCCTGCAGTCCAGCCTGAGCAACAGAGCGAGACTCTGTCTTAAAAAAAAACAAAAAATGAAGTAGATCTATGTGTACAGATTTGAAAACATCTCTCAGATGTGTTAAGTGATGATAGTAGTACAGTATGGAGAATTAAGATTTCATTTTTGTTTTTTAAAATTAAAAAAATTATATAGGGCCGGGCGCAGTGGCTCACGCCTGTAATCCCAGCACTTTGGGAGGCCGAGGCGGGTGGATCACGAGGTCAAGAGATCGAGACCATCCTGGTCAACACGGTGAAACCCCGTCTCTACTAAAAATACAAAAAATTAGCTGGGCATGGTGGTGCGTGCCTGTAATCCCAGCTACTCAGG